ACACTACTCTTATCAGGTGAGATACCTACATTTCATCAAGGAACCTTTAGATATATGACTTGGCCCAAAAGAGAGGATCTAATGGAGATCACTTTCAGCCATCAGGGTAGATGATTTAAATGCTTCTCAATTCACTTTCCACACGGGTGGCTGCCAATTTTGCCCACATAAAAGGCTTGCCCTGGTCACATTCAGTTATGCGTTAAATGCCCATGTTTTTTACCAAGCTCTTTCCAGTGTTTTTATAGTTATTATTCAGTTATTTCTGAAATCAAACAAGATGGGCCAATATTGGATAGTGGGACAAAATCTGGATAATGCTTCTTTATAAAAGGTCTCAATGTTCTGGGATCTCCATCACTAGTTAGGGCTCTTGTTCGCTCAAAATCACGTGAGCAGACAGACACTTGGTGACTGGCAGTCTCATGTTTACGCCTTCACACATCCAGGTAAAAGGCCACTCATTATAAAATGCTCGCTTTAGTGACTATGTTATCATTTCTAAATTGAGACGTAGTTTTCTTTAGAAGGGAATTTTAGCTCTTAACTCTCAAAGCTTTTTTCATATAAGATACGAGATTTTCAAGAAGTTAAAAACACTGCTACTGGTTGTGACATTTCTGTTTATTCTAAGCTTTGTATTTTAAAGATGAATGTGGTTTGGGACATGGCCCTTTACATAGATTAAAAATAAGCCTGACCCTTCTCTATCCTGAACCAGTCTTCAGAATTCTCACTAACAAGCAGTGTTCAAGGAAGTTCTTTGAACATGATCTCAGTTTCATGGGGAGAGGATGAGATAAAGAAGCATCTTCAACTTGGTTTGACCTTCCCCTTATGCCCTTTCCCAGAATTCCTGGAGCCACCTGCCCATTCCTCCTCAGGGCATGTGCTTCCCTTCACGAGTGGTAGCAGATTTCCCACTTCCATTCACCGCTGCTCCTCAGTAAGTTGTGACCCTGCTTTACTCATCACACATCCCCAGCACCCTCCCAATGGCCGGACACAATTTGTGTTAGTTCTATTACATAAAAGGGGAGACTCTCTCCCTGAGGAATTAGCTGAAGCATTTTGACATCCAGAAGTCCAAGTCCATTGCAGAATACAGAACTTCTCCTCTTCCCCTTGCAGTAATTAGTATCCTTACACTCTCACTAAGGAGCCCTGGTGGCACAGCTACTAACCAAAAGATTGGCGATTGGCATCCACCCAGGAGCTCCACAGGAGAAAAGACCTGGTGATCTGCTCCCATAAAGATTACAGCCTAGAAACCATATGGGGCAGCTCTACTGTGTCCTATAGGGTCGCTATGAGTTGGAATCGACTCAAGGGCGCATTACAGCAGCAAAACACTCGCTAACACCCTCCTCTTCAGCTATAGCCGAAATCCAACAGAAGCTTATAGAATTTTTCTCGCTTATATATAAACCTCCTCAAAAGGCCATCCATTGACAAGCAATATAACAACTTTGTTGCCCATTTAAACTGATAAAAAACAGATACATGAATGTTTTAGATGTGATCAAGCCCAAGGCACTTGATGGGTCTTTATTGAATGGAATTGATTGATAAGTCAAAGGGGCAAGTAAATCAATGGGTTGTTTTTCCATCTGCAGGTGACACCATCTGGTTGTATGTGATGAGGGAGTCCTTGATTCCTCTGTACTTGGATATTTTGCAATATTGTCCCGTGTAGGGAAAAAGTCAAGTCACCTGGCCATTGGGTTGGGGTGAAGGGAAGCATCAAGGCTACAGTTTGATTTTGGCAATTACTCCACTTCAACTTCTAATAGGGAACCTCCCTAAGCAGGCATCAGGGGAGAGTGGTGGCCCCCTCTAGGAAGACCCCGCCTCACAGTTAGACAGAAGCCTCTGCTGGAGTGGTTCCTTCTCCCAGGGTTCATCATCTCTTTTATGTTGTTAATTCATGTGATTTGGGGTTTTGGTTCTATTTTGTTATGTTTTCTTATATGTTTTTGGTTTATTGCTTTTTAAAAAATTGTTTTGTTTATTTTTGGAGATAAAAATGTATGTTCTATGTGACAGCTGAGTTCCTTGTTTCTTTCTTTTGCCCGTGGCTGACTGCATGCTCTCTATTGATGTCTTGTTCCTGGTTCTTGACACTGACCATCTTGTCTGTGAAAGGAGGCACTCCGGCGGGCTTGCTTGATAAGAAGAAAGGGAAGTTTGCTTGGTTTAGTCACTCCACAGAAACCCATGGTAATGTTCCCCTGTGCTTTGTGTGTGTAAATCTATGTTGGTTCACACTGGACTGGATGGGAGGGTGTTTCTTTTGATGGTTTGTAATGCAGTGGTCATGTGTGTGCATATGTATGTATGTGTTTGTGTGTATGTGTGTGTTTTGTGAGGGGGATGGTAACCTGCCCCACTCAAAGCCACTGCCTTATAATCTCTTCATATGGAGAAAGTCAGCTGACCTTGACAAGCATCAGCAGCTGTTCCTTGATGGAACCCTTCCCTTGGATAGTGCTGGCGAAGAGTGACATCACTGTAAATGCAAACTTGGTACTATTACAGGCAATCCTTGATTTGGGAGATGATATGTTTACCCCTAATGCCCTAGTTTAACCACTCCTAATTTGGTGGCCTTTCTAAGCCTAACACCACCACCCTCACACCACTCCACTAGCACATAAGAGACTCTCTGGGAGCAAAGTGTCACAAAAGCAGATAGCTTTTTATATATTGCTCAGCCCTTTAAACAATAATGCCTGGAGAGTTAAAGGAACCTTAGGTCAGAAATGGCTGGAGATTGGTGGATGGAAAGACTGAAGGTTCTTCAGTTTTAAGACTTCTTCCTTGGTGTGGTTGGAGCAAGGAACCTGGTAGGCTCTGAAGTTCTGTCTTCCCAGATCCCAGAGCTGAAACCATTGCAAAGGTCTGTCTCACCTGCCAGCTCCCTCAGACTTTGGACTGTAAAGTGAGGGTAAATGCTATAAAATTCTACACCACCATTTTGCTACTCACTACTTCCCTATGTGGAGTCCTGGTGGTGCAGTGGTTAAGAGCTATGGCTGCTAACCAAAAGGTCAGCAGTTTGAATCCACTAGCCACTCCTTGAAAACCTTATGGGGCAGTTCTTCTCTGTCCTATAGGGTAACTATGAGTTGGAATTGACTCAATGGCAACTGGTACTAGTACCTCCCAATGGGACAGTTCTACTCTGTCCTAGAGGGTCACTATGAGTCAGAATTCGATTTGACGGCAGTGGGTTTGGTTTTTTCGGTTTGCCTTCCTGTAATACTCCCAGAGCCTCACTCAGCTTTCAGAATTTTATCCTAGAGTATAGAGTAGGGAATTGGTCAACACTGGGACAACAAAGATGAGCACGGTGCAGGAGGCCATGACGCTTGTGCTCCAGTGCCAGTCCTGTGTGACGTTGGGCATCACGGCCCTTCTCTAAGCCTCTCTTTCCTCTCCTGTGAGGTGAAGGGGGCAGGTTAGAGCTGAATGATTTCTAAAGTCCCATCCAGCTCTAAACTTCTATGAAATGATCTCTAGATTTCTTTTTACTCAATCTTATTGAAAAAGAGTCCTGGATTGGAGAGGTCTCTCCTGCATTACAGTCAAACATATGGTAAGTTCTGGGATTTCCATTTGTATCTTCCATGTCCTTGAAAGGAGTCTCTTCTCACCCACTTGTCCAAAAGAAAAGAAATGGAAAAATCCACGTCCATCAACATGATTCATATAACCAGTAGAAGCTTTCCCTGGGCTGTAGCAGCCCTGTGGGGACTTGTCACCTGATACTGCATCACCTGATGCCATACCCTTACTCGCTGCAGATTCTATGGCTGCTGAAGGCCAGTAATTTTCTAACCCAGTGAAGAGTTCTGTTCTGGAAGGAGAACTGAACCAAGACTGATGATGTAGTGACCATTCTAAAGAACAAGGTTTGGCAAAACAAAGGAGCTCATTGTTGTGTCATATTAAAAGGGCAATAGAAGGTAAAGAAGAAGAAGAATTTTGAGTTAAACTATTCTTTGGAGGAATAACAAATAATAAAAGAAAGGGCTTCTTATAAGCCACCAAGCTGGGTTCCAAGCTAGAAAACTCCCACTGCTCTAGAAATCTAACCCACTGCTGCCTTGAAAAGAGGCTGGATATTTGGAAAAGCTGACTCCAGTGGAGTTAAATGGTTTATATTCCAAGTCAACTTTGAGTTGAGACAGGAGTGTCAAGATTGCTGGAAGGTGGAGGAATATCCCTGCAGGCTTTCCTCTGGCCACATATAAATTTAATTTTGTGGCTTCCACACTTGTGTTCCTCCATCCCTGGTGTCTGCAGTGCTAGTTTGAATATTAGTGCATGCTTCTGGTAAAGGGCATTCACTTTCTCTATTTCAGGTAGGTTCCTGGATGTAAGAGAGTCAGGACCCAGCAAGTACTATAGGAAAAGGGACCAGCTTTCCAAATCCACCTGGTAGTTGATGTAGGCAGCAAGAATGCCCTTTCCACAAAACAACTGATCCCTAAGTTTGGGGATGGAGCTCCTTAGAGTTGGTGGGTGGAAAGAAAGAAGGAAAATAAATATTTTCGTGAAAGTTTCTCTTTTTATGATGAGCAGTAGATGCAAATGGAAAAGCTTGTACAGCTGTGAGATGTATCTACTTTCCTGCATACATAGGGTAAAGAGCTGAGAGTAGAGAAAAAGGGCCAATAGTCAGTTTTCAGGATGACTCCTATAAGGTAAAGTGATCTTATCACCAGATGTTCTCTCACATTCCCACTAGTCTGCAGTGTCCTTGGCAGCAAAACTTACCCTGGACAGGCAGCAGGCGTATGAGTCAAGGAAATCCCCAAACCTGGCCAGGGCAGGGCCAGGGCCTCAACCTGTCACAGCAGCAGATGCTGCCCAGGCTCTCCTCCTCTCAGCCAGCACTCAGCCTTGGTATTGGATATGTGGTAAACTAACTCTCTTCTGTTCCTTTTTTTCCCCCACCCTCAATGCCTTGTTCTTCATCCCTTTGACTCTTGCAGTGAGCATGCCTACAAGTGAGACGGAGTCCGTCAACACGGAAAATGTGCCTGGAGGTGACATCGAGGGAGAAAACTGTGGAGCCAGGCTGGCGTGAGTAGGCACGGCAAACCTGGGGGGCTGGGGCTTTTTCTGGGTTGTGGGCAGGGAAGCTGGATCTGGAAGTCAAACTGGGCTGGCTCCTCACTAGGAGAGCCAGAGAACGAGGAAACAGCAAGAAACAGAAACCTCAGGTGGTGACCTGTATGGTGGTAAAGAGGGCCTCAGGGTTGAATATGGCTCCTAGGTATGGGGGTGAGCCTTCAATTCAGCATTCCTTTGAGAGTCTGACTCTTGGATTTTGAGCCCTTGTTAACTGAAAGGTTCGAATACACCCAGAGGTGCCTCAGAAGAAAGGCCTGGAGATCTACTTCCAAAAAATTAGCCATTGTAAACCTTATGAGCACACTTCTATTTTGACACGCATGGGGTCACCATGAGTCAGAATCAATTCAATGGCAAATGGTTTTCGTTCATCACATCAAAGAAATTCAGAGTGTGGGAAGGGGCTCTGAAACCTGTTTTTTCCCAGCCGCTTTTACCCTCTCTCACAAGAGATGGCTAGGTTGGTTCCCCTGGGTCCTGCTGACCACCCTTTCTCTTCTGATCAGTGTGAAGCGGAAAAAAAGCACACAGGTTAAGAAAACACACTAGGAAGATGATAAACATGTTGGTTCTTATCTGCAACTCTAAGTTAACGATTTAATGAAGGGAAACAGAGGTGCCTGAAATGCAAAGTTAATTAAAAAACAAAAAAAAATGACCTGCACTTAGCCTGGACTGCAACCAGTCACCTCCTCCAGCATAAGCCCATGTGTAGATGTCCACATATACCTATTCCCTGGGTCAAATCCCAATCCCTGACTTTGACCTGGGACTGGAGAAGAGGCTGGTGTCAATAGGAACCATTGATGCAGAGATTATCACAATCACTCATCTTAGTTCAGTCTTAAGAATGGAAACCAGCAGTCCCTGTAAAATGCCCTCCTCCTTCCCCCCTAAAAAAGAAAAAAAATGGTTTAATTGCTAAAAATAAGCAGACAGCTGGTTTAATTACCAGTGTCCCAGAAAGCAGAGTGACCTTGAGCATGAGACCTCCTGGAGCATTCGGGTTCTACCTTGGGAAGTCTCCACTTTGGGTATGAGGACTACAAACTCACCCTAGTCACCAAAAGGAACTGCAAACAAAAGGCTCTGAGCAGTTTCTAAATCGTTTCATCAACGGGATAGTGTCTTATTTCACCCTTCCTCTTGAAATGGCTCAATAATCTGGGCAAACCCCGACCCAAAAAGGTAAGCCATAGTTAAGTCTAGACTTAAGTGATGCCAGCCTCGAGAATGGCTTCCCAGCCAAAGGAGAGGGGAAAACAAAGGCTTAGAAACAGACCAACTCTTGCAACCTCCATTTCCAGGATACACGGGGCCTCAGAATCACTCACTCTGACAGTGGCACCAGGGAGTCTGCAGTGCAGATTTCTCAGCATTGTTGGGAAGCAATTATTGTCAAAATGTTGCTAAAATATGGTGCTAATTACATTTTTTAAGCAGTATAGTCCAAGTCTTTTCCTCTTCTCTTCTTTTGGAATCATACAAAACAAGCTTTTGAGTTTCTGGAAGTGGGCCCTAGACAGCAACACTAGGAAAAGGAATATAGGAAGCTTTCAGAGTCCATCAGTCCTAGGCCTTTGTGTTGTCTTGTCACCAAGAAGGGGATTGGAGAGAAGATGATCGAGGACCCTATAACTTTGGTTTTCAAGCATGGCCCAAGTGGGAGACCAGGAAGGCCTGGCGAGCTGGCACCAGGAAGTCACTTGAGAGTACATTTCACGAAAGCATGAAGGCTCTGTTGGAAAGAGAATGTGATGTTCCCCCATAGAGGGAAGCCAGTCTCTAACATATCTGTTATTTTCTTGGGAGGATGCACTCTGCCGGCTTAGAGGAGCTCTGTAGAAAGTGTCTTTGTATTGTTATCCCCATGAATATCCACATTTCTGCATCTACTCTATACATATAAAATACCTGGTCACAGTGCCAGAATTATAATATGTACTTAATAAACTATAGTCTTTTCCCATTTCCACCCCCACCCCCATCCTCCAGACGATAAGACTGGCAACATTCCTTGTGGGAGAAACAGCAAGAGAACAAGCTGGGAGCTGAGACTGAGTGTGATGTTCTGAAGAGACAGTGATACACCAGCATCTTTAAGCTCAGATTTTAAAGGCTTATGTAGTCAAATGAGCTGGGATGAGCATTTATATGTACTGAGGGCCTAGATAAAGATGGTTCCTGGGTAGGGGGAGGGAGGATATCAGATGGGTAAGGGAGGTGTTGAAGACGAAGGACCCATGAAAGTTTGAAGACAGAAAATGGAAATGGCACTGCAGATAAATTTAAAGTGGAGCCCAATCTGAGAAGATTGGACCTGCAGTATGATGTAGACATCCAGACAGCAGACTATGGAAGGCTGAGACTCAGCTCTGAACAGAGATGGAGATGCGTATCTGACGTTATCAATATGAAAACTGTCAATGAGGTCATAGGACAAGGGTTGTTCACAGAGAAGTAGACAAAAGGGTGTTAGGAGAACACAGCAGGATCACTGTACTAGAAGCCTGGGGAAGAGGATTTCAAGACAGAGCTATTTATTTGTACATTCATTCAACGGTGTGCCAAGCTTGGTGCTAGCAGTAAAGAAAATTGACACCATCTCACCGGAGCTTACAATCTAGCGCAGAAGTGGCATTAAACAAATAGATAGGCGATTACAAACTGTGGTAGGTGTTAAGGAAAATAAATAGTGTAAGTGAGGTTAATAGCCGGAGAAGTGTGTGAGGGGAGAGTAGGGGAGATGAGGTCAGAGATTGGGCAGGGCCTGGTGGACCCCTAAGCAGTTTTGGTCTTTATCATAAGCGTGTGAGAAATCGTTGAAGCATTTGGGTCAGAGTGGGGAGATTGATTTGATGTTAGGAGAATGGGTGGAAGGGAGGCCAGTAGGGAAGGAGGCCAGTAGGGAAGTAGGCACAGAAGTGAAGCAGCAATAGCATTTACCCAGGTGTGAGATGATGGTGGTTCAGGCTGGGGTCATGACAGTGGAGATGGAAAGAAGTGGATGGATTATTTGTGTGTTCTGGAGGCATACTCTACAGGACTTGAGGATACACTGATTATGGGAGTTGGATCTCAGTGAGGGAATGGGGGGATATGAGCCAGCATCTGACACGCACTGTAAAAGTTAGACCATGGAAAAGGGAGGAGAAAATTGGATAGTGTAAAGAGAAGGCAGCAATGGTCAATTAAAGGGTTGTTTTTAATATAGTAAAGACTAAGACAATGAAAAATCCAGTGAAGAGAGAGAGACTGAAGAAGCCAAAGAGCAACTGAGTGAGTTTTGGAAGAAACTGCTTAAGGAGAAGGGAAAATTGATTTCAAGGACATAGCTTAATGCCCTGGCTTTATACAAGGAGAAGGGACTACCTCTGGGACTAAGTGGAAGATGAAAAAAGAGACCTAGCTTCAGGAGTCCTGGGGTCTACTCCCAGTCATCTACCAACTAGCCATGTGTCCTTGGGCAAAGCACTTCTGCTCTGGTTCTTAGTCTCTTCCTCTAGAAAAGGAAAAGGCTGGACTCATCATTGGCTATAACGTGCTGTCAGTATGGACCCCCTGCAGGGGCTAGTACAGAAGGGGAACCATTTTCATCTCTTTTACATATTGGACTTCCATATGAGATTTCATATGAATAAAGCAGTCTACAACTTAAAAAATTAAAAACCATAGGTCCAGGTGGTATCTAAGGGTCTCTTCCAGCTCTCAAAGCCTATAGTTCTATAAAGAATACAGGCCCAGAAACAAGCTTCAATGAAGAGGGTCAATGATGAGAGTCATAGAAAATGATCCCAGTCATCTCATCACAGAAAGTGAGGGTCAGTTGTCATAGGAACTTGAAGGACAGCACTGAAGATTCAAACTAGTGAGTCAGTGAGAGGTCACTAAAAGATTGCTGAGCAGGGCCAAAGCCGCCCTGTAAACTGACATCGTAAATATGGAGTCAGCCTCACAGAACAATTTGACGTATTTTTTGGCAAGTTCTGTAGCCTGAGAGCACTAAGACCAGACAGTGGTGTGAACCAGGGTGGAGGTTTAGCCAATAGGCCCAGCAGAAGGCCCAGGCAGTATGGGAGTCTACATGGTGTTGAGGACACTGTTGATGTGACTGTGGGCCAAGCTAAGAACTAGAAGTCAAGTCTGGTATTAACTGGGAGCCTTGGAAGAGGGTGAGTGGTTGGGAGGATCTGGTAAGCACAAACACTGGGTTCAGGGAAAGAACAAGAAGAAGAATAGACAAGGAAACTCTGGTCAGAGAAGTCATTCAGTTCAGCACCCAGTAGCTGGAGCAATGCTATGTGATGACAAGGTCCAGGACTTGACCCTTCTAGTAATAATGGCTGTGGGTGGTGATGAAGTTGTGGAGTTAAGGAGGCTGAGTCAGACATATTGTAGACGTGGATGGTGGATGGTTGACTGCAGTGCCATCTGACTTATATTAAAGGCAAATTTGGGACAATTTAGGGAAATACTATTTCACAAAGCAGGTAGTTAAATGCATGGTGCTCATTACTATAAGAAGGGGGTAGAGACTGAAAGTATAGATAGCCCCCAGGAAATTCACATATTTGTCAAATAATGACAAATGCAAATTGAGTAAGCAAAACAAAAAAGAGTTTGGGGCTTGTCTCTAATTTTGAATTTTAATATCAGGGAAGAAAACCGTGGTCTCCTAAAAGGTTTGTCTTGGAGGCCTCGTCAGAAAAAGTATCCTGTGTTGAATGAACAGTGGAGCTGTTTTGATGGTCTTGTGTATTTGTTTCTAATTTTCTCTTTCTCCACGCTCTTCTTCAATAATCCACTCAAAACACTAGGCAGGAGTTGTACCCTCATTAGAAAAATAGTGATGGATAAAGCTAGGAAACCTTCTGAGCAAGCTGTGCATAACTCATTGGGGTTTGGAGAAGCTGGAGGTCTCTACTGTTCTGAGGACTCTTTGGAACCGAAGGCAGCTTAAAAACCAGTAAAAGGAAACATTTGCCACAGTTGAAGCAGCCCTGCATTAATTCCACTCTAGGAGTGGAGTGAAGCCATGATTCCAAGACATCCACATGCTCCCTAGCTAGCTTACACAGTGGGACAGACCAGCTTTCCAAACTCTGAGCTGATGGTCACCTCCCAGGAGGCAAAGGGCTGCCTGCAGGGGTGTCCCTCTGTTTCCCTGAAGTGGGGTCCTGCCGTTGGCTTTCACCAGGATATCGGGAGTACAGAAGAATCCAGATACTCAGACTTTACAAAGAGTTCTAACTCCAGCTCTCCAAGGACCTGGGGTTTTCCTTAGTGTTCAGACAAATGCCACTTGAGCAATACCCTCACCCTTCTTAAGGATAATGGTGATTAACATTTCTGTTGATTACTTACAAATTATGATCTTTTAAAAGATTTTTCAGTCTTAAAAAGGGATGAATGTTTCTGAGCCAGTGAACCTAACATTATGCTCATGACCCCCTGAGAACAACAACAACAAAATCAGTTGGCAAGTGTGGTGTCCGTGGTTATATATCAGGACTGTAACTAAGTGGAGAAGAAGGTCCTGCTCCATTTCTTCCTGCTCAGAATGTACTAGAAGGCTAAGAAAAGACTCATACTCAGTGGCCATGCTTAAACTGGGACCTTGTTTTAAACAGTTAACCCCAGCTTGATCCTTCTCTGGGCCCACGTCCCAGAGGCCATTTCCTTGGGCAAACTGAACTCTCAGACTTAGTTTTCCCCATATGGGAACTCACTTTTGCTAAAAGCTAACCCACTTGGAGTGAGAGTCAGCCTTACAAGGAAGGATAAGTGCTCTGAATAGAAGGGTACCCCCAGAGAGGGTCACTGAGAAATTTCTGAGAGAAGGCCAGGGCCAGGGCCAGGCTTTTGAAACATACTCCCAGGGCTGAAGGCCATGGTCATCTGCTTTTGCTTATGTTTAACAGCAAGAAGAGGCAAGCCTGGGGAAGGTTGCGAGCTCAGCATAGCCTTGCTGGAGAGGAGGGCACCCCGGATTCCCCATCACCCAATTAGCAGCTGGAAAACATTTGTTTCCCACATTAAACTGTGGCTCTAAATAAAAATTCTTCCCTTGGCTCCCGGTCCCCTCCCACTCTCTTTGTTAACATGTGATTAAGCCCTCCAGCCCTAGCAGGCATCCTTTGGGGGTGGGAAAAGGTTATTAGCTAACAGTTCAGAGCAGTAAAGGCACTTGGCTCAGATCCTCAGTGCCCCAGAGATATAATTATCTCATGCACGATGGCTTTGCCACCTGTCACATCTTGTGGTCTAATTTTTTTTAATAAAAAATAACAAGAGGGGTTGGTGTTTTCTTCCTGTGCAACACAGCTTGCTTTGAGCAGAGCTGGGACAACACAGGCCGGCCGCAGTCACCTCCTGAACTCCCTTCACCTATTTTCTCTCCATATGTCTCCTTGTCTCTCTGCCTGTGTCTTCATCCCTTTCTTCATCTCTGACTTGCATGCTGTGACTTTCCGCTTGTCCATCTGAGCATTGTTTCTCCACCTGAAATCTCTCTAGTGGTCACTCCCTTCTGTTAGTACCAAAGCCTTTTCTGATGAGTTGCCTTCAAATCTCTTTTTGACTCAAGGGTTTACATTCTCTTTCTCTAGCTCACTCTTTCCTCCTCCACATTTCACTTCTAGCTTACTTTCTGAGTCTCTTCTCCAGCCTCCTGCCTCCTTCCAGCCTCCCCTGGACTCTTTCCTATATAAACCAAAGGCCTCCTTGAAGGTTCCCCCTTTGACAGGAACCTCCCCTCCCTACAGAATGACTTTTGAGGCAGCCACCACCATGCTTGCCCTGCACTTCTGCCCAGAAGTCCCCCAGGCCTCAGGCTGCACGTGCTTGGCAGAGTCCTGGGCTGCTCCTCAGAACCCACGGCTGTTTCTTTAGGCCCAGTTTGCAGCTCTTGGGCCAGGATTGTAGTGGCCTCTCCATTTCCAACTGGCTCTTTCTGCCTTGTATTCACCTCATAACCCTGCTTAGGCTGGGTTCCTGTGCAAACAGCAGTGGGGGTGTATGCGATGTGCCCCTGCCTGTGATTTTTGTGCTGGTGAGATGCTTCCGTCTTCAGGAGAGGCCTTCCTTCCCTCTGTGGCTTTTCTCAGTGGCCAACCAAGATGCAGCTCTTCCTAGCACACTTCTTAACATGACCTTATAGAACTTGGTGGGCAGACCCTGATCATCTGAGAACAAGATGCTGCCCTCTCCAAGGAGGGCTGACACTTAGAAGATAGTAGTTTTGTAGACTTAACAGCTGGACCATTTCTCTGCCTCCACATTCAGACATACAAGCATGCCAGGAGGTGTTGATGAATAGGGTTGTCTCTATCCAAGGTTGTTCTAATTCGTACCACACATCCTTCCGGTGCCCACATAGAGTTACCAAGTGTCTTAGGCTGGGTTCTCTACAGAAGCAAAACCAGTGAAACGTGTATATATATATAAAGAGAGAGAGAGAGATTTATACCAAGGAAATGGCTTACGCAGTTGTAGAGGCTGGAAAGTCCCAAGTCCATGGGTCAGGTGTCAGGCTGGAGGCTTCTGCTGGCTCAAGTCCCAAGAATCGGAGGTCAGATGATGAGAAGCGGAATACAGGATACAGAGCAGAGCTAAAGCCAGCGAGCTTTGACAGAAAGTCCGTATATATTGTATGCAGGCCACACCCCCAAGAAAACTCCCTTTCAACTGATTGGCTGCTCATAGCAGATCTCATCATGAAGGTAATTACATCATTACATAACTGCCAAACTACATCATAACTGCCAAACCACTGAAAATCATGGCCCAGTCAAGTTGACATACAACCTTAACCTTCATACAAGGAACATCAAACTTCTCTGGAATTGTTGAACATGTTTTAAATGGAAGAAAGTGTGTGTATGTCATTTGGTAACATTTCCTTCTTCTCTTTCAGCCACCGGATTTCCAAATCAAAGTTCAGGTGAGTGAGATGCACATCGCTCTTCATTCCTTCCATGCCCCAGCTCTATCCTCAGCTACCCTAGTGGATGGCCCAAGGTAATACCTACCAGCTGGGAGATGGGAGTAGAGTAGGAGATGTCCTTCTAAGGGGGTAACTGCTTTCTTTTTGTGTGGCTATCAAAAATTCTGGAATGGTTAAAAGTGATAGTTGAACAACATGATGAACGTAATGTCACTGAATTATACATGTGAAGATGGTTGAAATTGAGATTGTTTTGTTATGTATATATTTATCACAGTTTAAAATAAGAAAAAGAAGAGGCTTATGGAGTCAGATCAGGCAAATAATTCAATTTGTTGAGTTATCTATGACTGTCAATCATTCACACAACACTATCCCTAGGAGATTGAGACCAGATGTGTCTCCCTCCTTTATAAGATGAAATCCAGCTAAAATAACACAAAGTGAACACTTGTTACCTGCTTCATGTGTATGGAACGTGAGATATGAACTTTGAGTACTATGGAAAGCACAATGGATTATGACCCTGCTCTGCTTCAGAACTTTCCACAGGACCCCATGATCTTCAGTCCTGAGTCTGACTTTCCACCCTCACCTTCTCCACTCCCCTTTACATACTTTTCTGCAACCACATGGAACTTTTTGCAGTTACTTGAATATTCCTTGTCTTCTCACACGCTGAAGTCTTTTCATGGAAACTTTTTTCCACCTGAATCACCATATCCCCATGTCTTCATCTAAAGAAATCAGACTTTTGTTTAAGAACTACCTCGGATGATACTGCATTTATGATGACTTCTGCAAACTCCCCAGGGGAGTTATTCCCTACCTTCAGTCCATAGTGCATTGCTTATACCTCTATCACAGCACTTACCAAACTGCATTCTAATTGTTTTGCCTATTGATCTGTTTCCTCCACTAGTCTATGCATGCCCCAGAGGTAGGCACCACAGAGGTATTTATGGAGAGTATAGCTAAGTGCCTCTCCAGTGACTGGCTATCTACACATGAATGTTGAATTAATGGATGGATGAATATGTGTAGCAGGATTGTGAATTTACTCCCATTGAGCTTGTACAGGCCAAACAGTTTTGGTTGTTTATTTTTCAAAAATGATCTAATCTTGCTTCTCTAGATTCATCTACTGTGCAGCAAGAGAATAAATAACACTGAAGTTTAGTCCAATTGGGTAAATATAGTCCAATGCTGTATTTTAACTAGTCCCTTAAGATAAAATGTTTAGTCTCTCAAATTTCCTTTCCCCAGCTCCTCTCCAGGATGGAATCTGGATGAATGGATGTGGGGGGCTTTAAGATCCCAGGAAGTAAACAGGGCTTGGTGAGGACAAGTCCTTGAATCCTTATGAGTCCTCTGGATCCTTGCTTTTGTCTGATATGTGGTAACTAATCTGGACTGCTTCCAGAACTGCTGTCTGCTGCGGTACATACAGACATCCTCCATAGGAGTCCACAGGCCCATCTATTTGCCCCGATCTTGAAAGCGCCACTTCTATTCTCAGACCCCAAAGCTCTGTTGATCCACTAACTTTAGCACCTCCACACCTCATCTGAGTTCATAGACATTTTCGGGTTCCTCACATGCTGTGAACAAGCTGTGAGGAACCAGGACCACTACAGCAGGCTCATCTACCTACCTTCCTCTCATCACTATCTCTGCACCATCCGGAGAGACCTCTAAGCCAAAGACTGGCATTCACTCAGGGTCTTTCAGACACCCCCATGCTACATACACCCAGTGAAGGCAACATTCTAGACCCTATGTCCCTGGGTTTCCCCATGACTATATGAATGTTTTTAAAGCAACCCCCTCTAACTCCCTGAGGTTTGGCCCCCAATGGCTGAGAATTAAATGAGAACTCTGGTGTCTGACTTTTTTCTCTACTTCTGACACCTTCCTTTTCCCATATTCCGCTGGGTATAGGGGTAATATGGGTAATTCCCATATTACTTTCCATATTACTTCCCCTTCCTCTTTCTCTCAAGCCAAGACCTTTTTACGTAAAAATCTAAGCCTAGTCTACCAGACATAGCACTTATTACATGAAAGAGAGTTCTGCAGATATTTAAAAAAAAAAAATTCTCTCTCAATAATGCTTGACTTTTGCTGCTGTATCGCCAGGATCTGGCAAAGTGTCTGGTATGTAATAGGGATTTAATAAACATTGCTGAATGAATGAATGAGTGAATGAATGGTCTTGCTTCAATAAGACAGTAGGCTTGAAACAGACTCAAACAAAATATCTAATTTGACGGCCAAGAATTTTGTGCTTCTGACAGTTCCATAGCACTGAAATTCATTGTGAAGCCATCAGACCATAAGAGTAAAGGTATATAAAAATATGTTTGAAAATAGTTCAAAAATATCATTCTCGTTACATGCAAGTGAGTATATGATGAATGAATGAACATGATCTGGAGGATGGAAGAGAGAATTACATAATTGTACAGGTTTTCCCTAGTTAGAGATTCCCCAGAAGCATCTGGGAACATTTTTATCCAATGGCTTGTGGCATAACTTGTGCTTCTAAAGAAAAGGGACTAGTGGTGTCCCTAAGCCCCTGGAATTTCTGCTCACCTTCAAGACTTTGCCAGCCATTTGGCGCTGATCACTTGCCTCTAGGAAGGTGTCTTGGTTTCCTAGTGCTGCTATAACGAAATACCACAAAGTGAGAAGGCTTTAAAGAACAGAAATTCATTTTCTCACAGTTCTGGAGGGTAAAAGTCTAAATCAGGGTCTTGGACATGTTGATTCCTTCTGTAGGCCTCTCTCCTAGTTTCTGGTGTCTACGGCAATCCTTGGTGTTCCTTTGCTGCGTATAGATGTATCTGCCTCCATTGTCACATGGCATCTCCTCCTGTGTGTGTCTGTCTCTCAGTGTCTGTTCTGCCCTTTTTATAAGACACAACTCAGAGAGGATAAGGTTTAGGACCCACCCCACTCTGGTACGACCTCATTAACATAACAAAAGAAGATCCTATTTCCAAATAGGGTCAGATTTACAAGTACAAGGGTTAGGGTTAGGACTTCAACATATATTTTTGTTGTTGTCGTTAGGTGCTGTCGAGTTGGTTCTGACTCGTTGCGACCCTGTATACAACAGAACGAAACACTGCCCAGTCCTATGCCATGCTCACAATTGTTGCTAGGGGCACGATTCAAGCCATAGCAGAAGGGTTTCTCACTCAGCAGCCATCACTCAAGATACAATAAAAGTACAAAGAGAGGACTTGGTATTCCCAAAAGGCTTATTACCTGTAGGTTGGTACGATGATTAAACCCATTGTCCGTTAAGGATACTGAGGCTTAGAGAGTCCTGGGGTCACATGGCTCTTAAGTGGAAAAGTCAGAACTTACACCCATGTCTCTTTGACTCCAGGATCCCTGCTGCTAATTATTGAGCCATCCTAATGATAAAGTTCTGCCCAGAGATACAAAACCCTGTTTCTGCATATCTATTGTATTTTGGTACAAACAGTTAATGCCTTTTGGCTACTAACTGATGGGTTCAAAGTTCAAGTCTACCTAAAGGCACCTCAGAAGAAAGGCCTGGTGATCTACTTCCAAAACACCAGCCATTGAAAACTCTATGGAACACAGTTATACTTGACACACATGGGGTCACCATGAGTCCAAGTCGACTTGACAGCAACTGGTTTTATTGTCTCTTGAGTATAGAGTGGATAGCTCGAGTGCAATGCTGTCAAATAGAAATATAATGCAAGCCACATATGTACTTTTAAATATTCTAGTAGCTGCATTAAAAAAAGAAACAAGTGAAACTAATCTTAATAACATATTTATTGAACCCAGTATCTCTAAAAAATTGCCATCTCAACATGTACTTAATATAAAAAGTTGTTAATGAGATATTTTACATTCATTTTCTTGCGTACTAAGTCTTTAAAATCCAGTGTGTATTTTTCATTTATAGCACATCTCAGTTTGCACCAGCCCCTATTTCAAATGCACAATGTCCACATGTGTCTAGTGGCTACTGTAGTAGACATTGCAGCTCCAGAAGTTCTGAGCAACTATCAAAAGGCTGTGGTGTAGTCCAGATTCTACATCCCACTGATGACATCTGTTCAGGGAATAGCAATGGATTGAAAATGCCATGAAAATTATCCAAGTATTCTTAATCATTTTCTCAGGTGAAAGAGTATAACAATGACAAATAATAGAACTTGATCTTCAGCTGACCTACTCTGTTTGGAAAACTGAATGATGCAAAGTTACAATTTATTAAAAAGAAATATTAGAATGGAGCTTTTTGGGAAAATTCAGCAGATCGGTGGACTTACGATATCAGGGCAATATTAAGCCAAGTCTCCATGTTGAGGAATTAGTTAACATAAGAATTTTTGCAACATTTGGAGCTCACTGCTCAGAATAGGATTTAAATCATTATGGAACAAAAGATTCAGAAAGCCTTCAGCAACTTGAAAGGATTAATCAAATAACCCGTACAGTTGGGGTTTCCGTACCTCAAGTTTACAGAGACGAGTTCACTTTCTAAAGTGAAACCTGTGGGGTTATAAAACTGGGAGAATTGTCTTTCCAGTGAAATGTGCCTCCAACATTTCCTTTACTTCTTCCATGCCATAGTAAGGAGGCACAAATTCAAATTTGCCCCCATCTCCAATAGTCCACTTTTAAGTTACTTACTTATAAAAGAATTAAATGATTTTTTGTGTCGTTTGCTCTTAGTTCTGTTAAAGAAAAGATGGAAACTTACTCTAGCCACTTGGAAGAGCCTTAAGTGTCCACCATTTTTATTTTGTCCACTCTTCTAGATGCCTGTCAGCAATTATGTGACAAACAAAACTATTTTTAGGAGCATTGCCGTCTACTCAACCCTCACCCTCATCCCTGGGTCACAAAAGGGCCGAGGCTCTTAAGCCTTATCTTCAGGGTGTTAGTAAATTTGTGCAGGGTGTTAGTAAGTTTGTCTCCACTGCTCAACCAAGCTGTCAGCC